GGTAGAGTCCAAGCCGACGTCTTCCCCGGATGTTGTTCTCAACACCTATAAAATGTGATTAACGCGATACGCTCGTCTGAAAAAAAGGGAAATTGTCCCCCCAAATGGGTGAAAGTTCACAGGCAATCACAGTGCTCGGACTTTGCTCACCGGCCCCGGGCCCCTCCTGCCCCGCTCGGCAGAGGAGGACAAAAACATTGGGCTAATGAGTTACAGAGCGCAGCAGGTCCATCCCCGGGGCAGCCCTGCCATCGCTCAGCGCCGTCCCCAATCAGGGACGGGAGATTTTGCAATCCGGGACGTTATTGCTGTGCGGTTGGAGTTTAAACTTTGCCACTCGGGTCAGGGCACCCCGGAGGAAGAGGAGGAGGAGGTGGCTGGGCTCGGTGTCCATCCTGCTCCCCTGTGCGCCACGGGGGTTGAGAAGACAGGACGGATCCGTGGGAGTGGGATCTCACACAGGTAAGTCCTGGCTGCCGGTGCTCAACGGGGTCCCTCTACCTGACGGTCCCACGGGGCCATCAGGGCTCACTGGAAGGACTGAGGATGAAGGAGAGGGTGCCATAAAGCCCCTTGCCTGGGTTGGCCAGCCAAACATCATGGTAATGACAACCGTCCCCAAACCTGGCTTGAAGGACCCTTGAGTCAGTGCTTAATAGGTTGGGAAGGGCAGTTGGGTGATGGGTTGGGTGGAGCGGGTTGGGTCATTGGGTGGTGGGTTGGTTGATCAATCAGACAGTTGACTGGTCAGTGGGTTGGTTATTTGGTCAGTCAATCAGTCGGTCGGTTGGCCAACAGGCTGGCCATTTGGTCTGTTTCTTGATCGGTTCGTTGATTTGGCTGGTCAACCGGTTGGTCGGTTGGTCCGCTGGTCGGTTAGTTGGGTTGTCAGTCGGCTGATCGGCCGGTTGGGCAACTGGTCGGTTGGCCCTTTGGTTTTCTCTGAGTCCGGGGTCTCGAGCAGTGCCTGGGGTGGCAGCGGTAGAGCGGGGCCGAGTCCCCTCCTCGGGGCCGGCCGGTGGCAGCAGTCTCCTCCCCCTCTGCTTGCCACCCAAAATGATTAACCTGATCTTCCGGAGCGGTCTCACACAGGGAACAGGGCTGGACGGGGGAGCTGACCCGGCCCCCGGCTCTGGGCGCTCATCCCGCTTCCGCGCTTGGGGGGCACGGTGGGGCTGGGGCAGCTGGGTGCCTGCAGGGAGCCCCTGGCAGTGCAGTGCTCTTGGGGGAAAAAATAGAGGATTTGGGAGTTCCAGCGGCTGGAAGGAGGCTGGGGGGAGGGTACTGCCGTGCCCCTGAGCCCCTGCATGCCTGTGCTCTCCTGCCCGCACGCGTGCACGTGGGGCTTTGCCAGACGTGCCCACGTGTGCTCACATACAGGTGCCGGAGTGTGCACGTGTTCCCACACCCACGTCTGCGTGAGCACGCACGTGCACATTGCGTGGTCACGTGGTTGCACGGACACACAGCTCTGCACACGCGTGTGCCAGCGCGGCCGCGTGCGCATCCAGCCGTGCACACATCCACGCG